GTGGACCGGGAGCAAGGAAGAGCGGCGGGGGCGGGGGAGGGGCAGAGCGGTAGGGGAAGAGATGGTAAAGGGAACCGACTCGTCGAACATGACGTCCTGAGACGGGAGGACACGGCGCGAGGTGGGGTGGTAAAACTGCCAGCCAGGCGCGTCAGGGACAAAGCCAAGGAAGACGCAGGGAATGGCGCGGGCGGAGAGCTTGTCCGCGGAAGTATCGCGAACAAAGGCACGACCCCAAACCCGGAACACCGACGCATCGCCAACTTTCCCCGTCCAACGCAGTGCGGGCGAGGTCTCTGGCAAGGAGACACGGGGCCAGAGGTTGAGCTGATGCACAGCGTACCGGACCGCAAATGGCCACAGAAAATGGGGAGCGGCCGCATGGATCATGGAGGTACGAGCGACCTCCATGACTAAGCCAATGCGGCGCTCAGCAATCCCATTTTGCTGAGGGGAGTCCGGAAGCGTGAACGACTGGAGAATGCCCTCCCCACGACAAAAGTCCCGCAAGAGGTCGGAGGAGAACTCACCACCTCTGTCAGAGTGCAGACGTAGGACAGGAAGGTCCGTACCGAAGCGCTCGCGGAGCTGGAGACGGACTGTGCGGATCCAAGGGATCAAGACATCAGGGACCTCACCCTTGCTGCGCAAGGGGAAGACCGTGGTGTACCGCGTGTAGTCGTCAACGACCAGCAGAAAGTAGCGACGGGCCTAAGTGGCACGACGGACCTAGGGGCGTGACGGGCCAAGGGGCCGGGGCCTAGGGGCGAAGGGGCCGAGGGGCGCGACGGGCAAAGGGGCCGAGGGGCGCGACGAGGCGGGGCCGAGGGGCCTAGGGGCCGTGGGTCGCGGGAGGGGCCGTGGGTCGCGAGGGGCCTAGGGGGCCGCGAGGGGCCTAAGGGTCGTGGGTCGCGCGTCGAGGGTCGCGAGAGGGGCCGTGGGTCGCGAGGGGCCTAGGGTCGCGAGAGGGGCTGTGGGTCGCGAGGGTCCTAGGGGCCGTGGGTCGCGAGAGGGGGCCGTGAGTCGCGAGGGGCCAAGAGGCCGTGGGTCGCGAGGGGCCTAGGTGGCGACGTGCGACGGGCCACGGGGCGACGTGCCTAGGTGGCGACGGGCGACGAGCCGGGGGCGACGGGCCTAGGGCGACGGGCCGGGGGTCGACTAGCTAGGGGCGACGGGCCAGGGGTCAACGGGCCTACGGGGCGCCGGGCTAGGTGGTGACGGGCGTCGGGCCGCGGGGCGACGTGCCTAGGTGGCGACGGGCGACGAGCCGGGGGTCAACGGGCTAGGGGCGACGGGCCGGGGGTCGACGGGCTGACGGGGCGCCGGGCTAGGTGGCGACGGGCAACGGGCCGCGGGGCGACGTGCCTAGGTGGCGACGGGTGACGAGCCTGGGGCGACGGGCCTAGGGCGACAGGCCGGGGGTCGACGGGCTAGGGGCGACGGGTCGGAGGTCGACGGGCCTACGGGGCGCCGGGCTAGGTGGCGACGGGCGACATGCCGCGGGGCGATGTGCCTAGGTGGCGACGGGCGACTAGCCGGGGGCGACGGGCCGGGGGTTGACGGGCCTACGGGGCGCGACGGGCCTAGGGGCGCGACGGGCCAAGAGGCCGGGGCTTAGGGGCAACGGGGCCGAGGGGCGCGACGGGCCTAGGTAAACGGGGTACTAGCAGCGCAGCAGGTGGTGGGCCCAAGGAACCAGCTCTGATTCCAAGTCAAAGTTACAAACGAGAATGGATGAACTAGCAGCAGGATGAGTACAAGTACTAACCCTTAGTTATGTTGTACCCCACTACAGACTACACAATGTCAGCATATAAGTTTGACACTAAATAGCCGCCGCGATCCTTCGCAACACCCTTCTCGCCCAAAACTTACTCCGCTCAAACACCGCGTCACACCTCTCCACCCAGATCTTGTGGAGAGCGATTGATGTGATGGTAGCCTCGGAAAAACCCGAGCCTGAGCCCCCACGCTAGAAAAGAAGATCTCCCAATGATCCAATATTTCGTCGTGTGGTCCTCTACAGGGCCAAGAAACCGGATTACTGCCAGAACCACCTCGCGCAGTTCGAACGTGCGGTGACACTCCTCAGCAACCCCTAGGATCCCCAGGACACAACTGAACGCTCGGCAAACTAGTGAGGTCCCTTCCACGCTCACAATCTTTAACAGGCCATGGCGGTTCCCTTCCTTCACCACAAAGTTAGACACCTCCAGAATCGTGTTCGGCGTGACCGGCGACAACAACAGCTGCTTCCATTCATCCAGGGCCGCGTCGAACACTCGCTTGGGGAGCCTCCCCCCTGCATGCCCTCCAAAAACTCCCTCCATGGCTCCTCGCTTTTCAGCGTCCTGGTCTTGTCAGGGCTAATATCGATGAGATTCCGCATGGTCGACTGTTTTAACCCCACCACTGCCTTCTGCTTTTTTGTAGGTTTCTTCTCGTTCGGTAAGAGACCACGGTTGAACTGCAACAATTCCTGCTCCACCTCTTAGACCGTTGATACAGTAATCCCATCGGAAAACCTAGACTTCAAGAAGAGCTCGAAGGTGCGTTTCCACCGCTCGCTCTTTCCTCTCTACTACTTCATCCGACTCCCATGGCCCGAGAGAGACTGAAGGTCCAAAATATTTGCTGCCCAGTTTGCCAGGTCCGCATGTAACCCCATCTGTTGTGACACCAAAAGCGCCACCCTCATGGCGGCATAACCCCCTAGCTCCGTGAAGGGGTCCCGAACGCCCAGGCCGTGGTTTGAACAACAACTCCTGGCTCCACAAGACAAACAGCTTCACTGTTGTCGCGTGATTCTCGGAGATGAAATTATGCAGAAGCCTCATTATCTTTGCCCATATCTCCGGCGGGAACGGATACATTTGCGCCTGAAAGGCAAGGATGGGGGACGTACCCATTCACCATCGCCACTCTTGCCGTTGTGGTCAGAAAATGGATCTGCCATTTCAGTAACTCAGCAGTTGCCCGCACCAGCGTGATCTCCTAGGTGATTGTGGCATCTCCTGAAGGTGAGATCCACACTTCCAGAAGTCTCTCCGCTTAATCGGTTTAACCCATTTGAAAGCTGAGTCCGCGTCTGGCTTTTTGAGCAGGTTTTTTCCCAGAGGAAGAAGGGCCGACTTCTCCTTATTGACCCGAAGCCCTGACCTCACGCCGAAGTTGTCCAGCAGCTTCACCGTGCGGCCAATTTGCCTCCGTCTAGCACAAGTGTTGTATCGTCCGCATACCCCAAGTAGGCAAGCTTTCCTCCGTACGGATTGCTGATGCCCAGTTTCCTTCTCTTTCCTTCTTGGCAAATCGGCTCTACCGCGTATAGGAACAGATAGGGTGCCAGTCGGCACTCCTGCCGTACCCCTTTCCGCACCTCGACACTCTCTCCCAACCAGCCGTTGAGAAGCAACCTCGTTGACAAGCCATTATGAAGGCCCCTGCAGCACCCTACAAACTTCTGCAGGAACCCCATCCGCTCCAACATGCCAAACAACTATTCACGCGAAGAAGAGTCGAAGGTCTTTTAGAATTCGACCAGCAGAAGTTACCAGTCCTCGTTCTTAATATTCGCCGCCTCAACCATGTCAGCCACCAACGACACGTCGTCTGAGAGCCTTCTTCCCGGTAAGAACCCGTACTGTTCCTCCGAGATCACCTTGTGCAGCACCTTCCGCATCCAATTAGCTAGCACGCGAGCAATCAGTTTGTATGTGTTGCTCAAAAGCGTAATCGGCCGGTAATTCTGAATCTAATCTCTTGCACCCTTTTTGTGCAGGAGGATGGTGGCGGCTTCCTGCGCCGATGCCGAGAGAACCGCCGACTTTTCAAAACTCTTCACGAAGTTCATGAGGTCGCCACCTAGCTCGTCCCAGTGACAGCTAAAGAATTCTTTCGGGATGCCATCCACCCCCAGGGACTTGCCAACCGCCATATCTTTGAGCGCCTGCTTAACTTTCGCTTTGGACCAGTCCGCATCCAGCTCCTGCGTCTCGCTCTTCCCCAAGCGCTTGTGCAGGGCTATCGGCCAAAGCCACAGCTCCACCGTCGGCTAAGGCTTTAAGAACAGCTCCACGTAAAAGGCAGAGGCTGCATCCAGTATTTTTTTTTAATCCTTGTACTCTTTCCCATTCCATTGTAGCGACATAACTATAGTCTTCTCTTTCCTCACTTAAACCTTCGCAGAGAGAAGCTTCCCAGGTAGCTCCCCCCCCCCCCATTAACTCCTTCACCCCCGACATGAGCGAGAGCCTCTCCTGCTCATCGCCCGTACTCGTCCACAGCCCCTCCCAGCCGCTCTTAGCCGCACAACACTGTCAACTTTCCCCCAATTCCCCCTACAGCCGCCCATAGCCGCCCACAAGGGCCCACAGCCGCCTGTAGCCACCTACAGCACTCTCCGGGCCGCAAAAGTGCACACTCCCCCCGCTGCAACAGCGCGGCTTACCTGCCTACGCTCTGCCTTTGCAGCCACCAGCCGCGAGCCACCAAGAGTGCCAGAAGTGCCAGCAGCACCAGCCACCAGCTGTGCTACCCGTGCCCCACCCCACCCCACCAGTGCTGTCATGCAATTAATCCAGGCAGAAATTAGGAATAAGAATAATAGGAACCTTAATATAATTGTCTGATTATTAGTAGAATTATAGCTAGTGTAGGCTACACAGCGAGGAAACAGCAGCGGGCCGAGCCAAACGGGCGGATTGACCAAGGGCGGGAAGTGAGGAAGGAATATTTTGAGATGGGAAGGCTAAGGCAACGGTAACTGTAGCAAGTAGAGGCAGAATGGCTGGTTGCTTGCTTGTTTGTTTTCTCTCTTTTAGCAAGGGTCACTTCTTCCACTCTCTCTACCGAGAAGCCCTTCCAAGCCAAGCAGCCAGCCGAGCAAACTAGGGAAGCTCTGTCAGATGATGTGGTTTAGTCAGCAACCAACTCGTACAAACAAGCAAGGAATATCAGATCGAGTCCAACTAAGATACGAGTATAGTTATCGTAGAGAGACTATGAAGACAACGCACGCCACCATGAGCTGGCGCGCGCAACTTGAGAGCCCACCACAGGAAACAAAGGGTGAGCGGACGTTGCGACGCAGTGCCCCTCCTGTGTACCACACCCTGCATCATCGTGAACGGGAGGAGCAGGGACGTGGAGGAGAAGGCAAATTGTGAGCGGCGTCGAGACCTGGCACGGTACCCCATGACTTGCAGTGGGCGAGAGAGGCACGAGAGTGGTGGAAGGCTCGTGTGGAAGGAGAATCGTCATCGCTGATGCCAAGAATGCGAGAAATACCTCGCGCACCGCATCACCAGTGGAGCCAAGACGATTACGTCGAGAAGGAACTCACACAGGGACGACATGCGATGTTGGCCAGCAAGTCGGCCTTAGAAATGCTGGGAGGAGTCTCGGAGCTGTTACCGGCGTGGAGATGGAACTCGTCGTCGCTACCGAAGGTGGAAGTGACTGAACGCTACACAGGGGTGCCAGACAATGGACCTACGCTCAAGAACTACCTCATGCAGTTGGAAGCATGATGGTTTCGACCCCCAGCAGTTATTCGGTGTTAGAGGTCCACTGGTGATCCCCGATTGATCCTAGGGAAGGGTTACAGGCTCGTTGTCCTGGGGGGTTATGGGCGCACTGACCCGCTACTTAACAAGCCCTTTTATCCCAATGGTCTAGTGGTTGGGATTCTGACATTCGGCGCCAACACATCACCGTCGATGAACTTCTTCAATCCGGTGATCTCCAGCTGAGGCTCGATGGACTCCGTTCATGTGATCAAGTCGTTTCGACCTTCGAGCGGATTCGGCACAGCGATCTTGTCCGGCGAAAACTTGCGCTGGCGCGATGCCTCCGTCTCGACCAGCCCACACATGAGTCGCCAAGGTCGGCCCGACTCCACTCTGCTGGGGAGGACGGCGTCGACCGTCGACGTCGCCATGCGAGCTGCATGCAGCCGCCATCGACCGCAACACTTGCCCTTGCATTCCGCCGATGCCGACGTCAACGGCCCGAATCACTCCACGAGTCACCCTCGTGCCTCCTTCGCTGACAAATTTGTCGCCATTGCCTTCGTGATGCACGAGTCGAGGAGATGCGGACGCAGCGTCTACTTTAGCAGGGGGAAGGGGGATGCTCGTACGCCCACTGCGCTCAGGTTCCCAGGAGCATAAACTCCAAGCTTGCTCCGCCGTACTCGCCAGCACCATAGTGTCGTCAAACATCATACTCTCGTGCCTCCAAGGTATCCTCTACGCCCGCTTCAACTACGGGGTCGACCATGGTGACTAAGACAGTTGCCAGCCTAACAAAAACTTAGGTAAGGCGCAAAGTCGTCTAATCTGAAAGTTCTAACGCGGAGCCGTCTACACTCACTGCACCATGCGAAAAATGCTATTCTACGGGAGAGCTAACTAGCGTGGGACGCACGGACAGAGCGCTAGCAGTGATTCTCAATAAAGTGGTGCTTGATTGCCTTGGTAGAATTCAAGCATAGCTTCACTCAAAAAAAATATTGAACAAGATTATGGTACAAGAAAGGAGAAAAGTTCATCGGCAAGCATTTGAATTTGTCGATCAGCAACGGTAGGTGAAACGACAAGCTCGTGCATCTTTCACCTGAGTTGGCAGTTGCTCAGGTTTACAACATTCACAGTTGTATATGTTTTTACTATTAGTAAAAACGTGTTTCCGGTTCAGATTCCTGTCACGATAGGTAGGAAGGAATGAATGGGATTAGGGCAAGGAGGGGGATACAATGAAGTGTCGAGCAATTTACTGTACCCCCTAAGGCTAAACCCACTACAGCCTAGATAGCAGTAAACTTATAATTTGACACACCCCCATAGGCGAAGTGGGGGATAGCAAACACAACAAAGCGGTCACAAGACCAGTCAGGAGAAGAAGCAGAGCAACGCAAGCTCAGGGTGGATCTCAAGATCACCACGCGCTCTGAGCACTAGCAAGCGGCCACAAGGCCAGTCCAAGAGGTTACATAAGATATATAGGTGCGAGTACAAGCAGAGCAAGGCTACGGCAGACGAGCAAAAGAGTCAACAAGCCACCACCTCACCCTCCCCCCACAGTGGCACGCGCGGCCGTGAGAGAGAGAGGAGGAGGGGCGGCTGCTGGCTCCTCATACCCGCCACCCCCATACCCTCCAAGATCCCGCCACCCCCATACCCTCCAAGATCCCGCCACCCCCATACCCCCCCCCACTGCTGCACCCGCAGCAGGGGGATAGAGGAGAAGGGGGGGGGGGGCGGGGGGGCTGGTGCTGCAGATCCATTCCTGCCACCCCCTTACCCTCCAAGAGCCCGCCACCCCCATACCCCCCCCCCCCCCACTGCTGCACCCACAGCAGGGGGATGGAGGAAAAAGAGGGGGCGGAGGGGGCACTCACGAGGGGGTGCGAGGGGCACTCACGAGGGGGGTGCAAGGGGCACTCACGAGGGGGTGCAAGGGGCACTCACGAGGGGGTGCGAGGGGCACCCACGAGGGGGTGTGAGGGGCACTCACGAGGGGGTGCGAGGGGCACTCACGAGGGGGTGCCAGGGGCACTCACGAGGGGGTGCGACGGGCACTCACGAGGGGGTGCAAGGGGCACTCACGAGGGGGTGCGAGGGGCACCCACGAGGGGGTGCAAGGGGCACTCACGAAGGGGTGCGAGGGGCACTCACGAGGGGGTGCGAGGGGCACTCACGAGGGGGTGCGAGGGGCACCCACGAGGGGGTGCGAGGGGCACTCACGAGGGGGTGCGAGGGGCACTCAGGAGGGGGTGCAAGGGGCACTCACGAGGGGGTGCAAGGGGCACTCACGAGGGGGTGCAAGGGGCACTCACGAGGGGGTGCGAGGGGCACTCACGAGGGGGTGCGAGGGGCACCCACGAGGGGGTGCGAGGGGCACCCACGAGGGGGTGCGAGGGGCACCCACGAGGGGGTGCGAGGGGCACCCACGAGGGGGTGCGAGGGGCACTCACGAGGGGGTGCGAGAGGCACTCACGAGGGGGTGCGAGGGGCACTCACGAGGGGGTGCGAGGGGCACTCACGAGGGGGGTGCAAGGGGCACTCACGAGGGGGTGCGAGGGGCACTCACGAGGGGGTGCGAGGGGCACCCACGAGGGGGTGCAAGGGGCACTCATGAGGGGGTGCAAGGGACACTCAGATACCCTCCTCCCACTGCTGCACCCGCAGCAAGGGGATGGAGGAGAAGGGGGGGGGGGGGGGGGGGGGTGTGTAGAAGCTGCTCGGGCAACAGCAGGGCATGCGACGGGCAGGAACCCGTCGTTCGCCACCCCCGCCACCCCCATACCCTCCCCCCCCCTGCTGTACGATCAGCAGGGGGACGGAGGAGAAGAGGGGGGGGGGGGGGCGGGGGGGCGGTGCAGGGGCTGCGTGGGCGACCGCAGGTCGCACGAAAAACATCCGCCACCCCCTCACACCCTCTCCCCCACTCCCCCCACAGCAGCAGGCGCAGCCGTGAGAGGGGAGGAGGCATGGCAGCAGCTGCTGCTGCTGAGGCACATCCGCCACCCCCTCACACCCTCTCCCCGCAGCAGCGGACGCGGCCGTGAAAGAGGAGGAGGCGTGGCGGCAGCTGCTGCTGCTCAGGCACATCTGCCACCCCCTCACACCCTCTCCCCGCAGCAGCGGACGCGGCCGTGAAAGAGGAGGAGGCGTGGCGGCAGCTGCTGCTGCTGAGGCACATCCGCCACCCCCTCACACCCTCTTCCCCCCTCCCCATGGGGGGGGGGGGGGGAGGGGGGGGGAGGGGGGCGGGGGCGGGGGCGGGGAATGAGCTGCGCGTGCGACTGCAGGGCGCGCGGGCAGGAAGAAACCGTCGCGCGCTCGAGGCGTGCGACGGGTAGAAACCGACGCGCGCCTGGGGCGTGCGACGGGCAGGAACCGACGCGCAGCCGGGGCGCGCATCGGGCAGAAACCGTCGCGCACCCGGGGTGCACGACGGGCAGAAACCGACGCGCAGCCAGGGCGCGCATCGGGCAGAAAATCGACGGGCTAGGGGCCGGGGGCCTAGTGGCGTCGAGCAATGGGGCCGGGCCTAGGGGAGCGACGGGCGACGGGACCGACGGGCCTAGGGGCGTTGGGCGACGGGCCGGGCCTAGGGGAGCGACGGGCGATGGGGCCGACGGGCCTAGGGGCGGCGGGCGCGAGCGACGGGCCGGGGGCCGGAGGCTAGGGGCAACGGGCCGGGCTAGGAGCGACGGGCCTACGGGCCGGGCTAGGGGCGACGGGCCGGCCTAGGGGCGACGGGCCTAGGGGCAACGGGCGGTGGCGACAGGCCTAGGGGCGACGGGCAGAGGGGCGTCGGGCCTAGGGGCGACGGGCGCGAGCGACGGGCGCGGGGCGACGGGCCGGGGCCTAGGGGCTACGGGCGACGGGCCGGGGCCTAGGGGCTACGGGCGACGGGCTGTGCCGAACGTCGAGAGGAGGGCCGCACGAGGGCGGCGCGCAGGGCAGCAGGTGGTGGGCCCAAGGGTCGTAACAGCTCTTAATACCATGTCAAGATAGGTAGGAAGGAATGAATGGGATTAGGGCAAGGAGGGGGATACAATTTACTCTACCTCCTAAGGCTAAACCCACTACAGCCTAGATAGAAGTAAACTTATAATTTGACATTTCCTTGCTGATTCGAATTCTCATGGGGCGTACAAATTATGAGAGCATGTGATTGGTTGAAATTTTATGTGTCACGATTGGTCGAAATTCACGCACATTGCAAATTTTGGAGGCAAGTGATTCTAGTCGACCGAAAACGCCTTGCTCAGATATGCGCTCGTCGAGCATAATTTCGTCGACCATCGCTTCGTCGAAATGCTGATTTCTACAATTTAGTTGACAAACGAGGCTCGCCTTCGATGCCGATTTAATCCCGTCAACCAGTGCCTCGTCAACGAGCGCTTGCGCAGACCAGCAAAAATGCTTCAACCTCCATGGATTAAATCGGCATGACAGACGACTTGTCGCACAGAGATAAAGTCCCCAAAGTTGCTGATGACCACGAAATGAAGTGCACACCTTTGTGCTCCTGGAAGCATGGTCGACTTTGCCCAATCAAGGGCAGGGCCTTTTCTATTCGACAAGCTGCACCCGACTGCTCCTAGCCACGCCCCACTGCACTAGACGCTCCTAGCCGCACCCTACCGCACCCTGCGGAGATAACTGAAACAACGGGTGCTAGTCCACGGGGTAGGCACGGTTGTGAGGGTGATCTCTGAGTTCCTTAGTTGTTTGCTTGTGTTCATTCTACTTGCGCATTCATGGGGGAAATTGGCAAGAGTTTCACTAGCAAAGATTGACAACAATGGTTGAACAAGCAAAGCAACAATGGACTACATCAGATGCCAGCAAGCATGCAGGTGGACTGCCAGCGTAGCACGGTCGACCGAGTTCCAGCACGACAAGGTCGACCGCGCTCTAAAAGTGCAAAGTAACGGCGTGCCAACGCTGCAAGTCAACGGCGTGCCAACGCTGCAAGTCAACGGCGTGCCAACGCTGCAGCAAGGTGGCTGCACAGCGTTGCACCTGCAGGACAACAGTGCACCCGCTTCGCAGATGCTTGCAGATGGTTGGCGTGCTTTGCCTGTCAGAATGTTATGTTTCTCTAGTCTGCAGTGGGGTACTCTATAGTGAGTACAGCCCTGTTAGGGTTTGCTATATGTATCCCAATGTTTGCTAGTGAAACCCCTCTTTTCTGTTTCATTCATTCCTTCATTATTCTGACATGGTTTCAGAGCCATTACGCTCTTGGCCTGTGGGCCCACCTGCTTCCGCTGCTTTCCTGTCTGTCGCGCGCCCCGTGGCGCGCGACACTTTTTTCTTCCCGCCGCGTGCCCTGAGCGCGCGGCGGTTTTCTGCCCGCCGTGCGCCCCGAGGCGCGCGGCGGTTTTCTGTCTCACGCGGCGCCCTGGGGGCCCGCGCGCTGCCCTGCCCGTCGCCCGTCACGGAGCCCTGGGGGCCCGCGCGTCGCCCCCCCCCCATCCTGTCACCCGTCGCGGCACCCTAGGGGGCCGCGCGTCACCCCTGCTCGTCGCCCGTTGCGGCGCCCTGGGGGCCAGCGCGTCGCCCCCCCTTCCCGTCGCCCTTCGCGGCGCCCTGGGGGGCCGCGCGTCGCCCCTCCCGTCGCCCGTCGCGGCGCCCTGAGGGGCCGCGCGTCACCCCTCCCGTCGCCCGTCGCGGCGCCCTGAGGGAGCCACGCGTCCCCCCCTCCCGTCGCTCGTCGAGGCGCCCTGGGGGCCCCCTCGCCGCCCCGCTTCCGCTCACACGCCGCCCTAGCTGCTGCCCGCGTTTCTGCCCTGCGTTTGGGGTATGGGGGTGGCGGGTATGGGGTGGCGGGTGTGTGAGTCGTCCCCTGCTCCCCCTCCTCCTCCGTCTCCCACTGCTGCAGCTGCCGCTGAGGGGGGTGGATGTGTGGGAGCCGAAGGAGTGGTGCTAGGGGGGGTGTCGTGGGAGTGAAGCTAGGGGTGCAGCAGGGGGTGTGTGAAAGGGGGGTGGGACAGTTTGGGGAGGTTGAAGGGGGGTGGCCGCCGTGAAGCCAGCAGCTCCAGTCGCCCGTGAGCCTGTTGCGCCAGTCGCCCGTGAGCCCGTTGCTCCAGTTGCCCGTGAGCCCATTGCTCCAGTCGCCCGTGGGTCCGTTGCTCCTGCCGCTCAGAGTTAGCCGCGGAGCCAGTTACTCCAGTAGCCCGTGTGCCAGTTGCTCCAGTTGCCAGTGTGCCAGTTGCTCCAGTTGCCCGTGTGCCAGTTGCTCCAGTTGCGCCGTGTGCCAGCAGCTTCAGCTGCCGCCCACTACCTCCTCTCCTCTCATAGTCCCTCCTCCTCCACACTTGCCCTCTGTGATAGCTTCTAGCTTTGCTTATATTTGTGAACTATAAACTGCTGCTTGTTGTGCTGATCATACCCCACTTTGACTATGGGGGTGTGTCAGAATGTTATGTTTCTCTAGTCTGCAGTGGGGTACTCTATAGTGAGTACAGCCCTGTTAGGGTTTGCTATATGTATCCCAATGTTTGCTAGTGAAACCACTCTTTTCTATTTCACTCATTCCTTCATTATTATGACATTGCCTTGTCAAGTGCATAGCGCAAACGCCAAGTTGGCCATGACCCCACGACTGCACTTGATCCTCTACGTCGACCTCGGGATGCCACACCGAGGTCCGCTTCGCAAGAACCTTCTGGGTGACTATCGCGCACCTCTGCAGATCCCCGTCGCACAGGTAACATGGTCGACCGGGCAACCACGTCGACCAGCCACTCCTTCTTGTGCCCGTCGACCACCCAGGTCGACGACCAACACCGATCGACTACACCAGGTCGACCACAACCCTGGTCAACCAACTCCAGGCCGACCAACCCAGCTGTCATCCAACCACACCAAGTCGGCTTCCCCAGGTTGGTGTCACCAAGTCGACTCCCTCCCAGGTCGACCTCCCAAGACGACCCCCCGAAGTCGGCGCCTCCCAAAGTCGGCGCCCTGCCCAGGTCAACGTCTCCCCTCGTCAACCACTGGGTTGAAGTCGGCCGCTGGCTCCCCATCGTCAGCGGCGTGGCAGTGGCCCCGTGAAGGTCGACCTAGTTTGTCGACCTGCAGCTATCGACCTGCACGCCTAAGTCACCGTCGCCCACTGCAGCTAGTCGGCTGTGCTCCCCGTACACCCGACAAAAAATTTGGCTCCGCCCAAGCGAGGACGGGGCCAACACACCTCTCCCATTGACACTCCCCTTCCGCGTTCACTCTTTGGCCCCCAGCCCACACAGCAACACTACTCGGAGAATAGATCGTCGGCGTGCACACAACACACAGCACGCCGTCACCGCACCAGCCATGCAAGAGGGCATGGCACCTGCTGCTGCACGTCATCGTCACCGACGTCGGCCAGGCGCACTTGGCCGATCGCAACGGAGCACCGGTTGAAGGCCGGAAAGTGCAGCGCCTTTGTCAGGAAGTCAGCCGGCTGCTCGGTGGTTGGGATGTATTTCAGCGTGAACTTCCCACGCTTCACCATGTGCTGCAGCCAGGCGTAGCGTCGCCCCATGTGCTTGAGGTTGCCCTGCAGCCCCAGGTCCTCGGCGACCGTGATGGCCGACTTGTTGTCCACTCGAAGGACAGTCGGCGTCCCGGCGTCTA